GTCCTCGAAAACCAAGTCACACACCCTCCCCCACACATCACTAGCCCTCCTGACACCGATCTACGGTCTGTCGCCTTGCTTGCATAGTCGGCATCCACAAACACCTGCATGCTCATCCCAGTCACCACTCCCCTCTCAAATGTAATCCCCATCCAACTCGTCCTCCGTACGTACCCTAAAATACCGAGTGCTGCCTTCCAGTGCACCATCTTGGGAGACGTGCAATACCGCGCTACTGCTCGAACTGCATTCGCAAGGTCCGACCGCGTTTGAGTGGCCAACCACATCAGAGATCTACCAACTCGCTAAAAGGGACATCAGCACTCACTTCATTCGCGTCAAAGTCGGAGAGCTTTACGCTAACAGGCAGAGGCACACTCTGCCCCCACTCAACGCCATACTCCGCAGCCAACTCTTCGGCAAACCTCTGTTGTGAAATCTTCAGCAGCCCTCTCTCTACGTCTCTCTCGTAAAAGCACGCGGAGTACCACCTCAACTCTCCAAGGTTCTTCACGGGGACCATCTCGTTGAGATCCCTGCCAAACTTGTCACACCTCTCCTTCTGCCCTACAGCAAAAATGTCATCCACGTGGACCACGATGATCATTATCACATGTCCCTCCTCCATCAATCGAAAAACACATGCATCCGCCAGACACTGCAAACATGTCCCTCCTCCATCAATCGAAAAACACATGCATCCGCCAGACAATGCAAAACCTAATAGTAACAAACACCTCGCCAGGTGCGCATGTTCTGCGGTAAGCGCATGAAAACATCCTCATCAAGCTCAGACTGCACAAAAGCCTGCTGAATATCGAAATGGCACAAGTCAAGATTCTGCTCACATGCTAATGCTGCCAACAAGCGCACACTGGACACTGATACGGTGGGTGCAAACAATTATCCAAAATCAATCGAAGCCCTCTGCATGTCATCACTGCAATTTCCGTACGCGTCTGCCTTACAGTTGAAGACCCACGTGGCATTGATCGCGTTCTCTACTGGTTGCTCCACCGGACTAAAAGTTCCTGCATCCAACAAACCGAAAAATCCTCGACCGACTGCGTCATCCCACAACTCTGAATGTTGAGACCGCATGGCCTACTTCAACGTTTTCGGCACTCAAAGGTCGCTGGCGAGGCTGTGAGGAAGGTCTGGCATCTTGTTGGGCGGGCGCTCGGCGCGAAGAGCGGCGTCCACATCCTCGCGGGTGGCGAACATCGTTGCGAACATCTGCGGTCTCCCCCCCCCCC